GGGGGTATTGGTATTGAAGGGAGTAGGGGTGAAGTGGTAGTGGGGGATGGGAGGTGTTGGGTGTCGGGCGGGGATAGACGATGGGGGTGGAGGTTTCTTTTTTTCTTTTTGTTGATCGTCTTTGTTGGAGGTCGGAGTAGATAAGAAAGGAATGTTAAGAGCGTCTTGAAGGTCATCGACTTGATTTTGGATAAGCTTTCCGGTCGGGAGACCGCTCTGAGTTTGAATGTTTGGAGATGAGGTGCGAGAGGGAGGGATTATTGGTTGGGATGAGGATGACGGTTTCTTGCCTTTGTCGGCCATGTCGGTGAAAACGCAGAAGATATATATACTACTCAAGTAGATAGCTATATTTGCCTCGTACCCTACAAAATTGGACAAAGAGCGAGAAAATACTCCGGACCACAGACTCGTCCGTACTAGGTGATATGCCTAAGCTGGCCAGGAATAGATATGATCTCCACGAGACTCGTCAAGTGGAACGTTTCTAAACTCGCAACAAGGGTTCAATCTTGTTGGTACCTCGCAACTATAACGTTACTACTAGGATAGAATTGATCTTAATGCGGTATCGAGTGTTGTTTGTTTGGAAAAAAAACTAAGAATGTTAAACGAGAATGTAGCGAGAAACTTTTAGGGGCTCATGACCTGTTATGATATGATCGCTAGAGAGCTTGAGTTCATTGCAAAGAGAGAGAGAGAAAACTATATATATGCTAGATACAGGCTTCGCCGCAGTCGACTCTCACAGGACTCGGTATAAGCATACCTATGTCCTAACACTTTAATGTTTGTGGAGAGGACCAAGCTCTGATAGCTTGTAGTATGTAGGTCATGCAAGCTTACCTGGGCAGCCGATTTATTCACGTGAATCACGTGGAGACACGATGAGTTTGTGTAAATGGGGGTTAATGTTGTGTCACTCAAACAGCTCAGTCATGTTGGTCTTCGAACCCATTCACCCAAGAAATTAGATGCGAGGAAGAAGACCAGTGTCTCAAATTTCCTACGATTGTTGATGGTTGAAAACGTGAGGAATCACTCTTCTGTTGCTCAATTCTAGTGTCTTGAGCTCACCAAACACTCATATCTCATGATGGAGTCTAGTTTGCTCACTTGAATTAAGTATTTTCGGTGGTGAGCTGATCAGGGATTAAGTCATGAAAAGAGTGTCAAAAAAAAAAAAAAAACAACAACAACAACAATAGCTTGAAGGGGCAGTAATTATCAGCAGTGCTAAACTCGCTGCAACCGAATCTCTTGGAGGTTTGATGTTTATAAGGAGCTTTGACTGAGAAGAGCGGGATTTCCCAGAACTTAATGCCATCAGTTGTTATCAATGAACCGCATGGAGCAACAAGCCAAGAGACGCAACATCCATGCCGAATGCGATTTTGGTTGCCCTTGGGCTCTGTGAAGAATTGCACAGGATCCATCATGAGCAATGCATGAATAAGGAAAGCTTCGATGACTGAATACATGGACCTCAGAGAATTGAACTGACCAACAACTTCCTGACGAGTTATGGATTCCCCATTCCCTAATATCATATTATCCATCTCCGGGGAATTCTAGCCAAGAGGATATAAAATATCCTGATTGGGTGATGCTTCAAACCTGGCAAAGAGACAGTGTTATTGAGCGTTCATTCATACCATTTTTTTTATTATCCTTCAGGCCCAAAGGTGAGGTATGACAAACATTCTCCGTCTTCAAATGTGTGGAAGTTTAGCTTAGGGGTCAGGATTGAGGCTTGTTATGATCTTGACTTCCAGATTTACAAGTAGTTTTGGGGTGATATGTAGACAAACAAAAAGGGGGAGTGTGGGGTAAGCAACAATCCAGTGTGGAACAGAATGGAAGTCTTATGGGAAGCAGAAAATTTGAGCTATGGATGAATGAAGGTGGGGTTGGTTGTGGCACTGGCAGTCTGTTGAGGGATAGGCAGAGTAGTAAACAAAATGAGTGGATGAATGATGGAAGAAAAGCGGGTGATAGGTTTCTTTAGATTTGGTAATGGTACTGATGTTGTGGGTTGGGCTGTAGCAACGCTGGGCCAGCTACGCTAACGGTAGTGTTAGCCTAGCGCAAGTACACTACATTGTAGCGTAGTGTTAGCGCAGATTACTGTATCTGCGCTAACACTACGTGTGTGGGCCGCAAAAAAGGGCCCAATATGCTGCGCTATAGCACATTTTAGTGGTTTTTTGGCCGTTTTGCCGCTAAAAGCGCTGTAGCGCAGCGTAGTGGCACTAACAGCGCGCTAACACTACAGGTTTGGCGTGCTGTTCTGAGGGTTGCTACGCTAACGTTAGTGGGCCGTTTAGCGTAGTGTAGCGTAGCGGCCCACCGTTGGAGCGTAGCATTGGGGAGGGGAACCGAACAGGGTGTGCGGTGCATGTTGGACTAGCCAGTCCCGTTGTGTAATACTCGTATGCTTATATGTAGTTATGCTTATAACAAGCTTCCCAGTATGACTGAGCTACCGGACTTCTACTCAATACTCTCTCCTCACTGAAATCAACCATATATATTCTCACTGTCAGTTCCTCTTGTGAGTCTTGACCTCAGTCAAAGCTTCAGTCCCTGGTTCCACTCAACAACACTGGGAAGTTACATACGTTACGATATCCGGAGGGATTTTCGTAACGTAACTTCCCAGCGCATTGGATAACAACATTAGCGTTATCCAGAATGCTGTCCTTTTTGACCTGTGAGTAACGTAACAAGAGAGATTTTACCCCTCGTTACGGAAAAAAACAACGGAAACAGCACGTTATCCACGTTGGGTGAGGGTAAACCCCCTTGTTATGTGTTCGTTATCCACACTTAATCGTGGTGGATAGCGTAAAAACACTAAAAAAAGCGGGAAAAATAAAAAAGAAAACGTAACGGAACGGTATTTGCGGTTATTCTAAGGCTAACGGCCACAATTCCGTTACGTTTTCGTTATTTTTCGTTACTGAAAACGTAACCTCCCAGTGTTGCACTCAACAGTGCAGATTAAGCCTCGATCTGGCACCAACCCCATTATGTACTGTCCCTTGTTGCCTTTCTTTCTTTTTTTTTTCTCAAGTGGTTTCAATGAATCACTCATATGGGCTCTTGCAAGGACTCCCCCGCAATTGGGCTGGGCTGGCATAGGAATCCTACTCAGCAGGACTGATATGATGGGCCCAACCAGTTTCCAACCCAGATTCTTGACCTCATTGGGGAAGCTCATGAAGCCAAAGAAAAATCATATCATGAACAAGTGTTGATTTTTCTGATTGTCAAGTAATTTTTACTGTTATATTATGTTATGGTAGCTTCAGTCTAGATTGTTGAAGTGATGACCAGTTAGGTATGGAAATGAGGTGCATCTGGTGCTAACTTGCCAGGTTTTTTGGTTGGTTGGGCTGGATTAAAATCACTTAAATTGATGTCTTATTAGACTTTTTTGGAGCAAACACTGTCTTGACTCTATGGTAGCCCAGTAGTGCTGGTTAAATGTGACATGTGGCTCATACTGTAACAGACCTCACAAATTAAGCATACACATTTTTTCCTTCTTCAGGAAAGGATGTACCATGTGCGAGACTCTAAAGCAAGCACAGGTTTCAAAATAGAAACTGTTCAAGTTTGTATAGCCGATTTCAAGGTGCCTATCAACCAACTTTTAGCGTTTTGAAGAGATGTGCAGATTTTGGGGTTTCTGAACAATCAGAACAACTTTCTCATTTTTCCAAAAAGTTGCTGATCACAAACACCATAAAATTTAATGCCTCCAACAACATCAATTGCTCTCTCAGAAAATTGGATACTCAAAAAGTTTAAAATCCCTGTCTAAGCTTGTCCAGCTGGATGTGTCTCTCTTGTGGGAAAGGTAGATGATTTTGATTCTGTGGCCAAGAAACAGGATCAATTGGATTGTCCCTCTGTTGGCATCCAAATTTGTTTTTGGCTTTGAAAAGATGATTCCAAGGGAAGAAAAAGAAAAAAAATCTTCACATCCAATTGATCCCAAAATTTTGCATGTGGCTGTACAGTCGGTACACATGCGCACAAAAGCCCTTCAATGCCAGATTCTTGGAGATTGCTTGGTCCAAGTTTATACAAGTAGAAATAATTGTCAAAGTTTACAGACATGACATAGATGAACCAAATCCATTTTTTTCATTTAAGAACATGCCCCATCAGTAGTATGTATTCTGTGGTCTACAACTGTTTGGAGACATATTATTCCTCCTACTTTCTTGAGCCATAGCTGATTTTTGATCCTTTAGTCAAGTACTCATCCGGATCTCAGGTACATCCAGCCCATGCATATACTCATGAACCTTATTTCTCAACCTCAATCCCATAAAACACAATATATTATCACCCATCTCAATGCCCAGAAATCAAGAGTGTTTACAAGCAAAGAAGGATGTGAACATTGAGATGAGTGAGGATGAACTTCTAAGCAGACTCTTTGCACCATCTATTTGTGGATCCTAGAGGTACAGTGTGTTTACTTGAACGAATAACTGATACATACAGTTGCGGACGGCAAAAACCGACCCTGGATTTTCAGGATGTCCGAATAGTCGGGCCAAAAATTTCAGATTTTTTTTGAAATTTTCAGCCTTTTGAGCTGTTTGTAGCCTCCAGAGTGTAGAAAAAATACACTAGAATAGTAGATTAACAGTGAAAGTAGATGGTGAGGGTGTACAAGTAGTATAAAACCATATTTATGTATCACTTAAAGCCATAACTATGGGTTTAAGTATGGCTTAATCTGTGCATGTCCGATTATATGTATGTGGAAATGAAAAAAAAAATGAACCACTCACTCAAAACCTTAGTGATTACAATTTTGAACTCTACACATCTGTAGAAGTTCAAAAATGTAATAAAATTAAGTATCAGGGCACATGCCCCCCGGGGCATAGGCCCCGCGTGTCCAATTTGGATTTTGCGGGCGGGGCATGGTCGGTCTATGCCGTACGCAACTGTATTACCCCAAAAGAATCATTGTCTATTATTGATAATCCGCATATTATAGTTTATGGATCAACATGGCCAGGGTGAGACAATCCACAAGCAGCGAGAATTTTTGCATCCCCGGACTCTGCATGAGGGCGACGACCAGAAAAAGGTATAGCGATCAATAAGTGTAGCTGGATATGTGTGACATCATTGAATGCTTTGGGAAGACTTACGTCCAATTTGTCGGAGATTTTCCGACGAAGCTTCGATGTGGAGGATGAGATCTTGGTCTTGATTTTTTTGAAGAATGCAGAGAGAGCCTTGAAAGGCCGCAGCAATCGACCCTTCCATTTGCCAGTCGGTTTTTTGGGAGGGGAGGTGTTAAGATCGTGAGGTCTGTAAGCCTCTGCGACGTCTTTCGAATGCTTCGAGGGAGAGTTTTCTTCCAGATGGCTTGTCTGAACGGCCGTTGGGCCTCTGACAACTCCCGGATCCTCGACATGGCCAGTTTTCAAACCCGAACTCAGCTCCTTTGCCGGGTCCATAGAGCTCGTCGAAGGGTGGAGCCCAACAACGTTTAACGGTTCTGGTGTCGCATGGTAAAAGCTTGGTGCACTGAGGATGGGACAGACAACCAAAAAACACTGCAGAAACGCGACTACTGCCATTCGACCGATATTCATCTCGAGAAGATCCGGCCGTGAAGATAGTCAATGTGATCTTATGGGGTATCGTCGTGGGGAGAGGTCAATCTGGAAAAGAAACGGAGTCGCATCAGACATTCATCCGTGCAAATTCAGTCCAAAGTGTAAGGTTATATGACAAACCTTCCTCGTCCCTTTTTTTCTTGAGAGTCCAGGAAATTGTGCTTTGAATGATAGCTTTTTCTTGGGAAAATGTGATGGTGATCGAGGTTTGTACGTACATATGATGTGGGGTGGTCGACGATTGGAAGATGATGGAAGAAGTCCCGGGACAAAAAAACGAAATTCCCGCTGTACATAACCCAAGGACACCTGAAACCGGTTACAAGCTGATCAACGGTGTTCATAAATATTTATATTTTGCAGAGAGGCGTCACCCTCAAAAAAAAACAAGAAAGAAATCTTGAAACCCATTGCATGCCGATCTGAGTCTGAAACCCAAAGTCATTCGGCTCCCCCACAGCTGGCCTCCCTTGGATTGGCTTGGATTTTCTTATAATTGTAGCTGGCTTGGGCAATCAGCAACTCATTAATGCTTAGAAGATGTTTCATTGTTGGCTACATTTTCCAGTACAGTCCCCCATAGAATCATTCCACCACATCCATCCAAACAATGCCATCAGTCAAGTTCTGACAAGGTTATCATCAGCCATCATAATTGGCTAATAATATATAAACCAGGGCCATTTTTGTTTTGAAAAGCCAATGATTCACTGCATCTGAACTAGAGTGCAATAAGTAGAGCAATATTTATGGTCCTTAGATTTCCACAAAATGTGGCCCCCAAAAACTGCAGATTGATCCCAACCCAAGAGTAATCCACTTGAAGGGTTCCACACAAAGATGTGCGATTGGAGTGAGGCAAAAATGAGCAGATTATTCATCAAAGTTCAGACGTGTGCACTGGCCTATTGATCATGACCTGTGTAATATATGACCAATTCCTGCTCCTGATCAGCCTTTCTGGACCCTCTGCACCCTGTCAGAGGTGGATCTTGCGGGGAAATCAAGCTGGAGAAAATCAAAGGTAGTAGGGGATGTATTAATACCTAAGCACAAACTTGATACAATAAGAAAGAAGGATTAGAAAAAAAGGAAACAGATCATTTTTGTTTGTTTATTTGTTTTTTTTTTTTTGAACTTTCTTATATTCTTAGAGAATATACACCGCGGGTGCAATTGGGGATTTCGGGTCCAGCCATGGGGTGGCATTGTCCCAAGGCCGTCCCAGGTCCTAAAAAGGCATCACAATAGCGTTGTTGCGAGGCTGTTGTGACAGTGGATCTCTGTTTTAAGTGGATTTGGAACACACCTGGGACGTATTTTTGTGTGATGTCCCTAGGACACCCAAGTGCACCCGTGGTGTATATGTATATAGCTGGTAAAGAATCTCCTAGGCCGCTATTCCTGAAAGTAGGAATAGGATCAATCAGATATATATCAATTGTGATCATTTTTCATCCAGTCAAATGACAAGGAAGGCTTATTAAAACCTAACCCAATAATCTATTTGATCAAGGTTATTGTTTTTGGGACTTGGTCAATCGACTCCCAGAAATTGGAGAGTTGACTCCCAAACCCGGGTTTCCCCAAAATTTGGGAGTCAATTCCCCAAACCCGTCGGTGGGTTTGGGAGTTGGCCCCCAAAAAAATTAAAGAAAAAAAAGAAAAACCCCAGAGGGGTTTGGGTGTCAACAAAAATAAAGACAGCTGGGAGGATTCCTCCCGGCCATGGAGAGTGCTCTTGACGGCCAAGAGAATTTCTCTCAGCCATCAAGGCTCAACAACCTCAATGGCCAAGAGAAACCCTCTTGGTTGCTGAGTATAAACCTCAATGGCCAAGAGGGTTTCTCTTGGCAGTTGCGGGTGTACATCTCAACGGCCGAGGGAAACTTCTTGGACATCAAGACTTCAATGGCCAAGAGAAACCTCTTGGCCGTCAAGAGTGTACCCCTCAAGGGACGAGTCAAAACCTCTAAGCCATTGAGGGTGTACACCTCAATGGCCAAGAGAAATCCTCTTGGCCATCAAGGGTGTACACCTTGATGACCAAGAGGTACATTCTAAGCTGTTGAGGGTATACACCCTTGACGGTGTGGTAAGCCAATCTTGAATAAGAGGCCCACAAAATCAAAGCTTCAAGCATAATATCAAGCCCTCTGGATGAAAAGACCCTCAAGGACCAAGGCAAGCCCCTCCTGCAATATTCAGCCAACCTGCAACACCATGGATGTCACAAGACCAAGCCCCCTGGACAGAAGACACTCTGGATTCTCTTTTCATTTCATTATTACATAATCATCTCATGCAGTCTTACATCATCAATCCCCATTCAGCCTTCCACATTTGGCCTCTGCATGTGTTTCATTCTATTCCACTTTCACTCTAGCTTCATTTCCACTTTGGGCCACATTTCACTGTTTCACACTATTCCTCTTGGGTTATCTGCATGTCTCACACTAGTACACATTTGGCTAGTTCATTTATCTCTCTGGTATATTCTTCCTCCCTCATTGGTTGTGGCACATTTCATCCCTGCATGTCTCTGATGTCATTTTCCCCATTTATCTTAGTGCCTACCAATTGGGCCACATTGTTTCAGTTTGATAATTTTCTCTTGTTCCATTTTGTTCCATGGTGTTTCCAACCACAAGCTGGCCACTCCCCAGATTTTGTATATAAGGAGCCTTGTTTTTCCCTCTTCATTTGTTCCTCATCAGATCCTGCCCCAGTAAGCCAGATAACTGATCACCCATTATTAGCCAGGTATATGCCCATCAACATTTGGGATACCTTGATTTGTGAACAAGTATATTTTGACCAGTAGACATAAGACATATTAGACATACCTTACTCAAGAAATCTCCATAGCCACACCTATTCTTCAAGAGTCCATACTCTTGTCCTTTTCTTGTTACCTTACTCATCCTAGTTCCCAGAGAGGCAGCCCATTAAAGCACTATTCCCTCTCAAGCTCTATTCATCCCAAAGAGTAGTTCCACAATGGCTGGGAGGAATCCTCTTGGCCGTTAAGAGTGTATACCCTCAACAACCAGGAGGTACACTCTTGGCCATTGAGGATATACATTCTCAACAACCAAGAGGATTTCTCTTGGCCGCTGAGGTGTACACCCTTGAAAGCCAGGAGATTTCTTTTGGCCGTTGAGGGTTATACCCTTATCGCCCAAGAGAAATTCTCTTGGCCGTTGAGAGAGCACTCTCTGCGGCTGGGAGGAATCCTCCCAGCCACTGGTTTTTTTTTTTGATCACAGACCCCCCAAAACCACTTGGTTTTGGGGCATCAACACCCAACCCCTCCTGAGTTTTTCTTTTTTTATTTATTTAAATTTTTTTGGGGCCTGACTCCCAAACCCACTGATGGGTTTGGGGAATTGACTCCCAAATTTCGGGGAAAACCGGGTTTGGGAGTTGACTCTCCAATATTTGGGAGTTGTCTGGCCAAGTTGCTTGTTTTTCATGGGCTTTAATAAAAAAAAACACGGGTTTTCTGGGTTTTGACACGGTTTTTGCTGCACGCAGCAAACACTGTTTCCACGCATGGCCATGTGCAAGCTCAATCAAAAGGATTTTGTTTGAGAATCAGCCACCAATAAGCCTACAATACCAGGAAAATACAAGAAACTGAGACGGAGGATTGGAGTGTTAAATCCTGCACAAGCACATTAAAGGATCTTGATCAGACACGGGAAAACACCAGAATTTGGGCACCTTGATCTTTCAAGTGTGTTTGGAAAGAGACACAATTCAAGTCGGGTTCAAGCAAGAATGTAAACAAGCTGTTTCAATACTAAGAATCCAAAGAATAATATTGGTTGTCAGTGTTGACATCCAATTGGAATGGGGGAGGGGGGGGGGAAACAATTTGGATGGTTGAATGGGGGGAAGCGGAAGAAATTATATGTGAATTCAGGCCAATAAGGAGTTCTAGACAACCTCCGGGCTGGAAATCCTTGACGGGATGGTTGGCCAAATGGCAGACCTACCTAAGGTAGAGCTGAGGTGCAGGGCTACTACAGGGTTTGTATGCATCCTCTGTATCCAAGCACACTGGTGGGCCCGACATTAGTCATCAGAGCTGGTCAGTCTGTGTATCTGATGACCAACTTTGAGGTTGGATTTGCACAGATTTTTGTAGTCTGATCAGGAAAGCTTGGGAAAATCTCCAAGGCCAACATTTTGGCTCAGAAATTGATCCAGTTTTTGGCAAGCATTCCACAGTTACGATATAGTTATACAAAGTATGTTTCTGATATTAGATAGCAAGAATAAAAGCCTCAAACAATCACCCATATGAGCCCAAAAAAAGAAGAGACATGTATGGGCTACTATCCCGCTCCAACCACACCGTCTCTGGTACAGATCTTCAGATTTGATTTACAGCTAACACAGGAAAGCTTGCGGGCTCCAAAGTCAGAAAAAAAAAACTACTGACAACAGCTGGAAGCTTTGGAAGAATACAGGTACATGTATGTATGGATCACCTCTGATCAAATCAGCTATCTTTTTTTGTCACTCACTTTCAGGTGATGAGAGTAACACGATCAGAATCCTGATGGAAAGTTCAGGTGATTCATCCTCCATTCTGTGGCCCTGCTGGGGAAGAGCTAGAGATGGTCGCGGATAATCCGCCGCGGATATCCGCTATCCGCTGGCGGATACCCGCCAGTGCCAGCGGATACCCGCCAGCGGGTGCGGATGCACCCTTCCCCCTGAAATACTGGTGGGTATCCGGGTATCCCTTGGGATACCCGGTGCCAAGAGGCCACACCGCCGGGAGGAATCCCTCCCGGAAAGCTGGTTTTTAAACCAGCTCGTTGGGAGGGGTTCCTCCCGACGAGCTGGTCTGTGTACCAGCTCGTTGGGAGGGGTTCCTCCCGACGAGCTGGTCTGTGTACCAGCTCGTTGGGAGGGGTTCCTCCCGACGAGCTGGTCTGTGTACCAGCTCGTTGGGAGGGGTTCCTCCCGGCGAGCTGGTTTAAACCCAGCTCGGCGGGAGGAGCCCCTCTCAACGAGCTGGTAT